CAGTAAGTAGCGGGTGTAAACCAGACAAAAGAAGTGTTTCTGCACCCAACGCACGGCCGGCCTGCGGAACTCCCTGCAGACGAGGTTATGAACTTTAAGGGTATGTCTACACTAGCCCCCTAGTGCAGGAGGAATTACAGCTCATTCGAGTTAAGGGCTTTACTTTCGAACTCCCATTTCACTGCCGCATGTAGACACGGGCAGTTATTCCAGGCTAGTCAATTTCCAAAAATGGCGACTGCCCGGGAACATGCTAACGAAGAGCGGGATATTTAAATTCCGCGCTTCATTTGCAATTTCGGTCGCCCGCATTAGCCTCCCTAGTTCGAACTAGGGGGCTAGTGTAGACGTGCCCTGACATAGTTTAAAACAGAACTAGTTAAACTCACGGGAGCTGGGCCCATCAGTGGCTAGTCACCAAATGGGCAGGGATGTCCCCCATCTTTGGGCAGGGATGTACCCCAGGCTCTGGGTGTCTGTAGCCTCTGCAGGGCACTGGGGAGATGGCCCATGGGTCTGACCCAGCGGCGCCGCTCTGATAACCCGTGAGCAGTGGCTGACACCATGACTGCGAGCCAGAGCTAGCCTGAGAGAGTCCCATTGGGCCTTGCTGGGCTGGCCTCTGTGCGAGCCCTAAAACCCGAGCGCTGGCGGATTTACCTGCCTTGCAGGGCGACAAGCCGGGATTAATCTGCCCATTGTCACGTGGTTTGCCGCAGGAGTCGGGGGCAGAGGGCGGTGGAAAGTGACCCCAGCTTGCTGTGCCCTAGGCAGGGCCTGCACACGGCCCTACTGCCCGGCCACAATGCAAAGCTCTTTGCCCCTCACAGGGCTGGGAGCTGGGGCTGAAGGCACCCTCTGGGCTGGGGGGACTGGAACCCCTCCACCGCAGGCGCCAGGCCCCTCTCAATTCCCTCCCCCCTCCGGGGATGCCAGCCCCACGGTGCTCACGCAGACAGCACAGGCACAGGCTTCCTGTTCACAACTGGTTTATTGGCTGCCTGGGAACGTCTCCCTGCGATGCGGCTCTTCGGCCCTCACGCGTGGTTAGCCATGGTCTGAAAGGAAAGCGAGCCCGGGGGTCAGGGGAGGACGCACAGACGGCTGCAGGAGCCGTGTCCTCGGGGCCTCTGACGCCCTTTGCACGTGCAACGTGCTGCCCCGAGCGGCTTCCCCGGGGGCCCTGCGGATCGGAGCTCACCTCCCGCAGCGCCTCAGCTGCCAAGCCCCCCCCAAGGCT